CATTAATAAGCATCTTGATCACATTTTTGTCTAAATATAAATGTGGTCACTTTTTTGATAATTAGCTTAAATTTAGTAATATTGAGGGATAAACCCCCCATAAAAACCCAGTCGGATTCACAATTCCGACCATATAAATTTGTAGCAGGTTGGTAAAATAAAAGAATGGAAATCAAACATATATCCCATTTTAAAAAATAAAAACTAATCACAAATACTCCCTAGTCGGATTTGCCAATTCCGACAGGGTAAAAAAAATGTTTTCCTACTTCAATATTGCGGTGAGAAGAAATTAAAGAAAGTCACAAATTAAACCCTGGTCGGATTTCCCAATTCCGACAGGGAGGAAAAAAGGTTAGTGCGGAGCCCTCCCCTGGTCGGATTTGGCAAATCCGACTCCCGTGTTCTGGTAACCTAAAGGGAACTTTTGGCTTGTCAGACGGGAAAACCCCGTATTTTGGTAAATTCCTCAGCAAAATGACCGGGCAGTTCACTTTTGGGAATTTCAAAAGCCACAAATGCTTGGCAACTTATTTATTATCCCTGTTCGTATATGTCTAGTTCTCGAATTGTATTTGCACAACAAAACGGTTGTTTACTCTAGCTTCTCGATCACATGACTTTCCATTTTTCCAACTTATTTCCTCCCAATACTACTCCCAAAATGCTACAGTGTTCCCGCCAAAACTCCCCCACACTTTTCTATTTTACTATATATATATATATATATGTGTGTGTGTGTGTGTGTGTGTGTGTATAGATCTGTTTTATTTTAAAAGGAAATGCTAACATTTTGGAAAGTCTAAATAAAGAAATTAATAGCACCTCTTTGGAAGATACACATGAAACATAAAATTTACCAATAAAATTTACTCTTGCTATCTCACAACCCTATTTTAATTTACCCTATGTCAATTTTATATTCTACCTAAATAGCCCCTTTATATATCAATAAAAATAGAATCATATGGGCGATACTAATTCTTTTCTTTTTAAATAAATATATGAGTGAGGCAATTTAGTTTTCTTAATTATTGGGTAATTATTCGATCAAGTTAAAATAGTTAAGCAAAGGATATTGATTCTTCTTTGATGAAACATGTAAACTATAGTACATAGCACATTATACAAGATATTCAGGATATACATGACACAAACAATAATCAAAGATTAGAAGTAGAGGAGCTCTTTTGAAATAAAAAGAGTGAGAATACTTACTACAAAAGACAAAAGGATATGCCTACCTCATGACATCAAGAACAATGGCCTCAGGATTTGGATGCTGATCAGAAAGGTAATGATTGTTGACTGCCATTGATGAACAAACACCCAATGAAGGAAATGATGTGACAAACAAGATGGTGACAATGCAATTTCTAACAAACATATTCCTTGCAAGAAGCTAAGATAATTTTCTATTATATATGAAGCCAAGCATATAGAAAGTTGAATTGAGAGTCTTATTGTATATATAGATTCCCACATTTTATGTATTGCATATAACTTACTTTGTCATTCTGAATGCGCAGACTATTTTGATACACTAATTATATTGACCATAAAATTTACCATTAGGTACATCTAAAGTGGCTCTTCAAAGAGTCGAACTAAGGGGCTTCTTATGCTTGATTTGAATAACTTGTCAACTTACCCATTCTTGTAACCTTCAACTACCTATGGAAAGGGTAGGGAAGAGTTTTTCTTCCACTGTGTCATTATTACTTGTAATTGTTATTTAAGTATTAACTCTTTCAACTGAGCTTAAAGTCATAAAATACAACATCTCTCCCAAAAAGATTTGTTATATTTGATTTTTTTTGTTAGATGTGTTAAAAAATGATCAATAATTCTAATTGATACTCCGCATTACCTATGTTCTATTTGCAAGTTTTCATTCGAAAATGGCATATGTTAAAGAAATTGTTAAATATAGTAAGTTGAATAAAGTGTGAGAAATCATTTGGGTGAGTATATGTGACAATGATATTTTTATGGGTGTACTAATTTTAGTATGTGATGATGAAGTTGTCATTTAGACGAGTGAATTATCTACCAAAATGGAATGACAAACTTGATATGTTTCTATTGATGTGCACGGGCAGCCTCACATTTTTAAGGGATTTTCTTCAAATAAGACAAAAACATACGGAGTAGTTTTTTTTTTTTTTTGGAACAAGGGAGTTTATATTGATAATAAAACATTCAGCAGGGGACAAAAGAGATAAAGGAAATACTTCCAGTCACCAACCCTAGAACGAGCTTCAGAACCAACCACCCTAAACAGAGCAATATGGTTTGCTTGTCCTGTAATGGGTCTAAATGAGCCAAACGTGGTCAGAGCAAAACTCTCATCACCCCTACCTAATGTAAGAGTCTGACAGAAATAAACGCATGTAACAATCAAAACAAGATGACGATCTAAGTAAAAACACAAGCAAACTAAAACAAACATAGAGATAACCTTCCAAACCCTAGTCTCGTGATTCTTTCATGGCGGCGGTTCAGGAGGGGGACGAATCAACATCTCTTCATCTTCTTTTGCCCATACAGGATCACCCCCACCGGCCCTGAAATTCTCCGATCCCCAATCATTCGCCCCCCTCATAATCCCGGCTAAACACTGCTTAGTAGCAAGAACATCGAGGCCCCTTCCGACCCAGGTAGCGATGCTCATGACCAAACTTGGAAAACCTTCCTCCGCCGAGCCCCTACCCGAAGAAAAGTGGGCGAAGCAATCTGCCACCTGCAATCAAAACTAAACACCGAGACCAATAGCTGCTTCAACCAAAAACGAAAGAAAAGTAGTGCGAAACAAACTCCAGGCCAAAGCCTTCCTCAGCCGATCACAAAACTAAGCCAGCGATCACCCCCTCCACTATCGAGAAGGAAGAGCAGCGCCGAAATACCCAAACCTTAATTACCTAGGGAGACGACCGCTTTTAAGTATATATACGGAGTAGTTAAAAAGCACAAATAAGAGTAAAGTGTTCCTTTAAAAAAAGAGTAAAGTGTTTTATTCTTAAAATATGACTTTTTTAATCTTATTAAAAATATAAATTTCCCCAATTAGGAGCGAATGAGTCATACTTTAAAAAGAAAATAATTGTGATCATGTTTGTACATTTTGTTTGCATTTTAGGATGTTTTTATTTGGACTTCATTGAGTCCCATATTAGAAAAGACCAGACTTCAACAAATCATAGCAAACTTCGGCAATTATAAAATACATTTAGAGTAGACGACATCTACCAGATCATACCAGACTTAAACAGACTACATCGAACCAGAAAATTCCAGTCCATCTAAAAACATCCTTAATCATGTTTTCAAACATCTTTATAATTATTTCATCGTAGAATATACTCCCTCATCACTACTTTTTCACTTTTGACATAAATAATCCCTACTGCAAAAGTTCACAACAATTGTCCTAACTACTTATTTGTTTCACAAAATTAAATCGAGTGCTAGCGGTGTTAAGTTTTCAATTAATTTTTTTAAATTTATAGATATGAGAAAATACATATAAGAATTAACAATATTATATCCGAGTTTAATCTTATTTCTACTATAAATTTAATTTAATATTTAATAGTTTTCATAAATCGTAGTAGAAAATTTGAACACTGCTTACTCATCAAATTCTCTATTACCTTTTACTCTTTATCCATATATCATTTATATTCATTTGTGTTATTCATTATAATAGAAATTTCAAGGTAGTTTTACAAATACTACATTAAATATCAATACAATTTTTTTAACTTATTAAAATTTCATAAAATGATATCTGTTATAATTTGAATGGATGATATACTGAAGTATCATATAAAAATATATTCATAATCATATACACTTCAATTTAAATATATATGTTTTCATAAATATAAACATAAACATATTTCTTAGTATCTCATCCGCTTAAATTATAAGAGATATCTATTTATAAAATTGACTAAATTAAAAATAATTATCATATAATTTCTATTAATATTTAATGGAGTATTACTGAAACTACTTTGAAATTTCTATTATAATGAATAAAAAATGAATATAAGTAAAATATTGATAAGGAACAAAATATACGGTGTAATAGAGAATTCGGTGAGTATGTAATGTTCAAATAATTCTATTATATTTTATGAAAATAATGAATAATAAATTAAATTTACAGTAGAATAAGATCGATTAAAATAAAATATAATATTGTTATACTTATACATATTACTTCTGTTCTTAAATAAATGCAACATTCAACTTTTCACATTTGTCTATGCACTATTTTGATCAATAGTATGTTTAATTTTCTTTTAGTAAAAAAAATTAAAGAATTCAAATTTTGAAAATTTAGGATGAAACAAATTTAAGAATATATTTTTTAAAATAAATTTTTAATACATTAATAAATAAAATGTAATCAAAGTTGAACATGTGAATAGTGTAAAATTTCACATGTTGTACTTATTTAAGAACAAAGGTAGTATATGTTTGCTTGGATATATTTATAATTAAAGGAAAAAAACAGAAAAATTTACACCATTAACAATCGATTTATTTTTGTGACACAGTTAACTAATAAGGATTATTGTTTTGATCTTCTTTTGTAAGAATTATTTTTTTAAGTAAAAGTAAAAATTATTATTGTCAATTTAGCCATACATGTTCCCTAATTTCCTTACTTGGGAGGGAACATGTTAAGAGAGTGTATGTTTGCGATTGCTACTACTTTAAAAAAATAATTTTTCAAAAGTGATTTTGGGAAAAAGTGCTTCAAAAAGTTGGTAGTGTTTGAAAAAAAATGATTATGAAAAAGTAAAAGTTGGTAGTATTTAATAGAATAAGTATTTTTGTGTAATTGAAAAAGTAAAAAACAGTTTAAAACACCTCTCATGGCTCTCAACTTATTTTAATTTTTAGCAAACGCTCCCTAACTCTCTTTGGGCTTGTTCAACCGACTAGATCAATAATTGCATGAAGTTGGATAATTTCAAGGGGACTACTTTTGGGCCTAAGAACTTCGTGTTCTGTTTTTTAAGCTAAGCACCTTTTATGGAGCCGCGAGGTTTTAAGCTTTAAACACCTTTTACAGGGGGTTTCAGAATTTCAGCTGACTACGTGAAGCAGTTGGATTATCGCACGGTGATAGGGAGGATATATGGCAGTACCAGGGAGACCTAACGGCTTGGGAGATGAAGACGAAGATGACGATATATTCGTCGGAGAAGAAATGGAGTTACAACCACTGGATGCTAACACTTACCCTCACCTTCGCCAAGTTGCCATTGCAGCCGAGCACGGTCAGCTAGAGTCTCTTCGCCATGCCCTAGGTACTCTTTCAATCATACGATCCTATTTAATTTAATTTTAGTTGTTTCCCTGAATGGAGAAAGGAAAAGGGAAGATCAAATTACTTTCTCAGCTGTATGTATTCCACTGTCATCTTTTAATTTGGGAGCACTGTAGTTGTATAGTGACATTGATAATTCGCTTAAGGAAAAATAACTTTAAATAAGACCAACTATTATCCATAAACCAATAATAATACCTACTTTGAAAATGATTTATAATAATACCAACTATTTGAATTTAGATAAAAAATAATGCGGAGTCACTTTTATACAAGAAATCCAGTCATTTAAGATATCAAAAAGTAAAATCAAATCATCAAATAAATGATATGTGGAAAGGTGAACTTATTTGATATTTTGATATTAGTTTTTGATGAGTTAAATGATTGATTTTTTGGTGAAAAAATGTTTTACATCACTTTTGATGTATATTCAAGCTGTTGGTATTATTAAAATTTATTTTTAAAGTATGTATTATTTAAAGTTATTTTCCATTCGTTTAATTGATTGATTGACCTGGTAGACTTACAGAGTTGGTTGACATTGTTCAAGGTTTATAAAGTGCTAGTTAGAGTCTTAGAGTTTACAAGCAATTGGCATAAATTATAATGATGACGAAAACAAATGGTGTTTTAGTATGATTTATGAACTCTTGTAAATTGTTAAGTACTTGAGTCTATCGTGTTGATGTTAAAATTTAGAACATATATATGCATTGTACAAATCAGATTTTATTGTAGTGTATTGCATAGTTGATGTGTAACACATACATTCAGAAGCAACGGGTGGCATTGGTATGACATTTGATAGCCGATAAAGTCTAAAATCATTAAAAAGTTAGTGTTCTACTATTGAAGTTATGTGAGATTGAAAAAGCAATAACACGTCTTGAAAGAAGCCAAATAATCTCAGATTGAAATAAGTTGCAGCCTTGCAGGTATTGGAAGTAAAAGAGCTCTTTCCTGTATTTTTCAAAGTAAACCAACTCCTTGTTTTGTTTCTGTACGTCAAGGTGAAATATGAAAGTGGCAATGTTGAGTGTGGCTCAATTAGGCTAATTGGGCTTCAATTTCATGAATACAAATACGATTAGTAATTTATGTAACTCATTTGCTTCATAGTTCAATAGATGTAATAATTAAGCTATTCAAGAGTTGTACTCCTCGGGACAGATGTAAGGTTTGCATATGTATCACCCTCCCAAAACCCTACTTCCGAGTGGGACATACAATTGTCATACAGTGTGTTTGGTTTAGTCGTTAAGGTATTCAAGTACCTCATTCATAAGATTGGGCTCCTAAATCTAAAGCTAGAGGGTTATATGAATGTATCATGTAGTGCCCAATTGCACATGTTCCTATTCTGTACGGTATGCAATTGGTTATTATTTAATATTTACAGAACTATTATATCTCCACTTGTAACTGCAGGCAACTTAAGTAACATTAATGAACCAGTAGAAGATGGAGACACAGCTCTGCATCTTTCCTGTTTGTACGGCCAACTCCCATGTGTTCAGGTTGGTCTTGCACAAAAGAACAATTGACCAGTAGGCTTGTGTTTGTCAAATTCCCTTTCTGAATTCATTTCTATTGATTGGAACATATTGAATGAAAATTCTTTTTCACATCCCCGATGCAGCTGTTGCTAGAAAAGGGAGCCTATTTGGAGGTCAAGGATGCGGAGGATGCTATTCCCTTGCATGATGCCTGTGCAGGAGGTAGGTTGTAATGTTTTTCTGCTCTTCAAGTCTTGAGTGCTAGCATGTATTTACAGTGTTTCTTGGTAAATTTTCAATAAAGTATAACCTAACCTCCGTATTAAAGGGCTCTCCATATAAGAATAACCTCTATATTTTGTAAAATATTATCATCCCATCTTGGTCCACCTTTAAGTTATACTCTCTCCGTCCCATTTTTCGTATATTTAAAGTGTACAACTTTGGAGAGAGCAAAGTGAAGGGAGAATATACGTGTGGAGGATTGATCTCATTTTATCTTTTTTTTATATTTTTTAGCTCCGAGTTCATATGTCTATTCATGTTAGCCGACTCCAAACACTTTTGGAACTAACGCTTGATTGTTATTATTGTTGTATAGCTTAAAGTCTACACTGTTAATATAAGTCTACAAATTATATTGACTTTTCTTTAAAGGAAATGCGCACAGCTCACTATCTCAATTAGTTCCACTTTAAAAATTTCTTTTTCTACATATAAAGGTATTAGGGAGTTGCAGTGACGGAGAAAGAAAAACATGTTAGGGGCGTCATGAGGTTGAATTTCTTGAGACAATACTTGAGTTGAATAATTCACATGTAGGAGAGATAAACTTTAGTTTAAGTAAGTGAATAAAATGTTATTTTTAAATTTGGATATATAACTAATATATTACGTTATTTACGTATCAAAATTTACTCACTTCTATTTTAGATGATATTGATTTTCAAGGAGTAATAACTTTTGACTTGTACAGAGTTATGGTAGCCATAACATAATATACTCCGTATCAAATAGAAGGTATTTTAGTGCTCTACATGCTCGAACTTTCAGGGATGTCGGTTGACCACCAGACCCTTTAGCTCCGCCCAATTATTATTGTTTGTTATGTAGTACTACCTCCGTCCCGCTTAAAGGTTCCCATTACAAAATGGCACAAATATTTAGACAATAATTAAATACGGCAATTCGAGTATATTGTGAGAAATAGTTGTGACTTGTGATGAAATATAATATAATGGAGTCATTGATGACAACTGTGATGTTATAGATGCATTATTTTTAGTATTTGATGATTAAATTGTCATTTAAAATATTAATTGTTTCCTAAAATAGAAATGAGAACCTTTAATGGGACGTCCAAAAAAAAGAGTGAGAATCTTAAAATGGGACAGAGGGAGCATTAAAGTTGATAATTTAGAAGTTTAGAATGCTGTGAAATATTTCTGCTAAAATCCATATTTAGTCCTAGAGGCTGGAGCTATTGTTCTCATATCGTTTTGGAATCAAAACTAAAAGTTCTAACATTATACAGAGTGGTTCTCAATCTTTATAATTCATGTTACTGTAGACTATGTGTTAACTTTTTGCCTGTTTATTGGTGAAGTTCCATGTGGTGAGTCATGCATTGCCATGTGGTGTGCTATTAACCACACATTATCACACAACTTATCGTATAATTTAATTATTTAAATTGACTTATCCTTACAATTTAAAATATGTAGTATATTATTATACATACAGTTGTAAATATATTAAATATGGATTAGTAGTTGTTACCGACTCAAATGCACACTATTTTGACAACAATTAGGGGTGTTTGGAGTTGATTCTGCTTCTGTTTTTTTTTTTAAGTAGAAGTAGAATCGGACAAAAGTTGATCTCCCAGCTTCTTAAAATCGGTTTCTAGGAGCAATTTGGAACACTCAGAAGTAATTCTGCACTTTCATCCAAACACTCCAATATCTGTTACTGCTACATGAAGGATCAGAAGCAGTTTTAAGAATTAGATCCCAACACCCCTTTAATTACATTTGCAAGACATGTTTTTTTTTTATTCAAATACATTTTGAATTAAAAGTAGATTTATGTATGTGTTTGTGATCATAATTATGTGCTACTATAAAGTAAATTATATTTACAAAGTAAATTTAAACTTTTAGTAATACAATAATATCATGTGGGATGCCACACGATTAATAACATGTCACTTGGTAATGTGTGGCATGCCACATGTAAATTAAAAGATAAGTTTATGTAAGATTTTAACCAACATAATATGAAATATAAAGTATGAAGACTAAGGATGGTTTTAATTGCATTGAAGTTTTCTAGTTTTATATGATATGGTCTGGTCTGATATGGTAGATGTTTGTTCTATGTGTATTTTACAACTATTGAAGTCTGGTCTGATCCAGTTTGGGACCAAAACTAATCCAATAGTTAGAACTTCTCAATTGACATATAATAAGTTTGTTTGATCTCAAGGATGTTGTTATATAGATGTTATACGGTATAGCTATGTGCAGGATTCACTCAAATTGTACAGCTTCTTATCAATAGTACTAGTGATCCTGCATGTGTAAAGAGGATGTTGGAGACAGCTGATGTGGAAGGTGACACAGTAAGTCCTTGATGATAACTATAAACGCAAAGCATTATTAAGTCACATGTTATGCAAATAGCCTAAGATGTTCCCAAGTCAAATCTTCAAAGCCTCATTTTATGTATTTCTACTACTTCTTGCTTGAGCTTAACACTTGTACCTTTACGCATTGTGGCTTTTCTTTGTAGCCTCTACATCATGCTGCTAGAGGCGAGCATGTAGATGTTATTAGGTTGCTGCTTGCTTCTGGGGCTTCTCCTACCAAGACGAATGTGTATGGGAAGGTAAGATCATAATGGAAATGCCAACTGGATTTTGTTGCTTAGATCTGCAAAATTTTGACCGTGAAGTGTTTACAGACCCCTGGTGACCTTGCTGAATGTGACACTGAAGCTAAGAGAGTTTTGGAAGAGGCTGTGATAGCAATGCGTGGCTGCTAAGTTTTTGGATTATATCATGAACGTGCTTTTTGAAATCATCTTTGACCATATGATTCTGATTGTTGTTCACTTTGTGTACTTGGAATGTTTTGTCTAGTGATTTGCAAGTATGACAAACTTAATGTGTACCCTCAGTTTGCCTTTGCTCTTATACAGAACAACAGACTGGAGCTAGATGGTGTTCCCCCTCATTTACATCACAAACAATTTATGGTTTCATTTTATTTTATTTTTTATTTTTAGTGTAACCAACTTTTTTTATACATCAGAAAGGAATGTGTAACCTACTATTATCCGGCAAAGTTCTTAAATTTAGCTGAAGAAAAGCAGATTCTTATGAAACCAAATTACTCATTTACCTTGATAGTTTGATCACATATCAATGAGAACACAGTTTAGGAGACATGATTCTATCCACAGCATCCACTGCCAGGTTGAGTCTGGTGTTCTTCGTGCTTAAAGCTAACAATCTTTCCCATGGCAGTTCCATGTTCATGAGCATTAGGCACTTCCAAAATCTGGAAGACGAACAGATTCATCAGCAGAGCAATTTTTTTAGAACTGATTTCAGCTAGGTTACTCTTTGCAAGTTTGCGGCAAGTACGTGAGCTGTTGGATTTTTTTGAGTTCTAGACCATATCTAACGTAAAGAAGGCAGACCTAAACCTATCGATTTGGACTAGACTTTGATAATTCAAATTAAACTGGATAACATCTCCTAAGTGCTACCTGTAAGGCGAGATTTTCAAAGCAAATATCAACATTTTCTCGAGTCTTAGCACTGCATTCAAGAAATAGGCCCCCAAATTTTCTTGCCAGAGCTAGCCCTTCTTCAGTACTCACTTTCCTTTCGGACTCCTGAAAGTACATGATCGCGACACATAATCAGACTTCCAATAAACACATGCACAAGAGTTGGTGTGGGCAAAAAGAAATATTCCCAGAGATCACATAATTTAGATACTGTTTGTTAGGTCTTCCACATATGCTATGCGCCTATGCCTAGGGCTAGGGCACATTTAAAGGAGAGCACAAATACATTTGAGATGGTGAGAAGCATGTGTTGTTTTTTTATTCCAAGGGATGCCTAGGCACTAAGTGCCCCTCGTTACCCCACCTAAAGGCCCCCCATCTATAATAACACTTTAAAGATCTGAGAAGAGTCCTCCAAACATAACATAAAAGGGGAGTAATTACTTACTTGGTCCTTTTTGTTACCAACCAACATTTTCACATAGTTCTGATCACTTGAGTAACTTTTTATCTCTTCCTCCCAAACACCAGTAAGACTTTCGAAACTCTCTTTCCTAGTGACATCATAAACTGTATAGAAACATCTAGTATAAGAAAGAGGTTGAAGTGCTACAATATAATGGGTGATTATTTTTGTTGAGGGTTATGGAGGTAAAGAGTTTAATACGTGATTGTGAAGCAATTCAATCATATTTTATCCACTTTATAAATTTGGAAAGGTAATAGATTAATATGTCTCCTGTAGTAAGATTTCATCTACAATCCCCTCCACTCAAACAAATCCCAAGTGTTTAATCACGTGATACCTACCAAGAACAATTCCCTGGGCACCTCTGTAGAAACTGGTGGTTAATGTCCTGAACCTTTCTTGTCCAGCTGCAAAAGAGACAACTTTTTTTAATTCCCAGGCAGAGAAAATGGCAATACCATGTTGCGTTGAACATGCATGAACAAGTTGATTCAGACATTCAGTTATTGTATTCCATTAACGCAAATTGGACAAGTGACGTTCATAAAATAAAAATTGCAACAACTTATACTACGTACATCCAAAGTCTCATTAACTTTTGTCAACTTTTCTTTTTGGATTGTCCTAAAAGCGATCACTTTCTCATTAAGTAACTAATTTGTAGTTTTGCTAATTACTCTCTCCTCAACACAAAGTTCAACCACAAAATCTTCACATTTTGTACTTCTACCTAATCCAAAGTTGATAGTGTCCAATGAGACGAAGATAATATATAATTAACATGAGAACGATGCAAACAACACTTTTAATCCCATATGGTGCACTATAAAGTTTGTACCTTAGCACTTTTAATTCACATTGACGGAATATTTATGAAATTGCTACCACATTTATTTGAATTTGGTATGTTTTTCCTAAAGTTAAAAAAGTGCTCATGTTCTTATTATGTTAACATCATTCTCATTGGAACTGCACCGTACATTTGTGTAATGATAACCCTAATTCGCGATCAGGTATGTAACTAAATAGTTTTCCTATGAAATAAGTGAGTGCATGGTGACGAATTATTAAATAGTCAACTGTTTATCAATCAACATATGAAGTGATAAATTAATATAATACTCTGTAGATAATATAGCAGGATCACATGGTAATAGTCACAACCAGAGTACTATTACAACAAACAACAACATCCAAACCTACTAAATAAATACAAATTTTTTATAAATAAACTATCTACTTTCACTTTATAAATGTCCCAAAATTAAGTTCATTTTCTCTATTTGGTAAATAAATTTATACTCGGTATTAGTTAGCTCTACTGCCCTTAAATAATAATGATAGCACAATTTTAAAAGTTTTCAAACATGTAGAAACAACTTTTTAAACTTGGTGAGACTCCAAATTCGATGTTTTTAGGTACGTGGATGTATAGAAGGTAATACCTGTGTCCCAAAATATGAGCTTTAGTTTTTTCCCGCCAACTTCGAAATACTTGATGTTGAAATCAACACCTGTGCATAGTCATCTCTACTGAGATCATCATTCATAATCGGAATTGGCTAAGGAAGAGAAAAGATATTGAGCTTATGTAATGTACCAATGGTGGGAGCAGAAGCGTGAGTAGGGGCATCTGAAATGAAACTGGCGATAAGGCTACTCTTCCCCACGCCAGAATCTCCGATCAACAGTATCTTAAAGGACCGGTCGTAGTCGCTCTTTCTGTTGCTGCTCTGTCCGGCGGCCGGCGATCCCATTAATACTTGTGAGGGAGCTTTCCTCCCCTTCACATTTTTCAATATATAGATACATAATAATAGCATATATACACATGTACGTATACAGGGAGCAGGGGCGGATCCAGAAAGTTAGACCATTGGGGGCAAAAATTAAGTAAAAGGTAAGAAAAATTCTAATAATTATAAAGCAACTTTGAAAGATGAAAAAAACCAATGTTAGCATACTAGAAAATATTTATTACAATTGCTCTCTACGAGTTTTCATTTTTTGAAAACGCTCCATCACCACTTCATTCGTAACTGTATCAAGCACATCTTTTTCAACATAAGAAATAAGACAATCATTCAAAAACTGGTCGCCAATCCTATTGCGCAGACTTGACTTCACAATTTTCATCCCGGAAAAACATCTTTCAACGGTGGCGGTTGCTACTGGCAAAATCAATGACAATTTAAGTAGTCGATATACTAAGTGATATGAGAGATGTTTTTTGGTATCCACCAACATTTTAGCAAGGTCGCCAAGGCTTTTCAAGTGAGAGAAGCGTTCATCATGAAGCACATCATTCATATAGAGTTTCAGTTGATGCTCAAGAGTATGTCGATCCATAAAGTCAAAGTCATCAGGATAAAACTCGGCCAATCTCATCAATTTCAGTTCATTAAACCCACTAAAAGAATCACTTGGACTCAAAGCTCCTGTACACATGAGCAATTCTGTATTCACCTCATCAAACCGATCATTGAATTCTACAAGTTGCATATCTACAACTGTATAAAAGCAATCCACAAAATAATAATGGAAGTTAGTGGTATTACTTTTTTTACGAGGCCTTTTTGGATTAATGTAATCTTCTTCCATTCTCAACATTGAAATTTCGTGTTTGTCACAAAAATCAGAGACTTTTTTCAAAAGTGAACCAAACCCATCATTGCGAACCTGTTGCAACTGCTCCTTAGTTGACCTTACTAATGACAGAGCATTTATAATGTCTTGATCTTTTCTTTGTAAGGCCATTGATAAAGAACTTGTGAGCCCCAAAATCAACAACATCAATTGCAAATAAAACACAAAATCAAATGATTGAAAATAGACGAGAATACCATGTGCCTGACGTCTTTTCACATCATCTTTACCATCTTTTTCAACAAATTCAAGAACTTCAACAATAGATGGAAACAACTCGACCACACGTAAAAGTGTTTTGTAATGAGAACCCCATCGAGTATCTCCAGCTCTTTGTAGCATAATCTCCTGATTCAAACCTTTTCCCGTACTAATGTCATTACAACTAATGGCTTGCTTAACTTTTTCTTGATGACTTTGACGGATCATATCTTTCCGTTTGCAAGAAGCCCCAACAACATTCATCAATAGAGATATCATATCAAAAAAATTCCCTACCTCAAAGTGTTTTTTGGCAACCGCCACAACAACTAATTGAAGCTGATGAGCAAAACAATGCACATAATATGCTGAACTAGTTTCTCTCAAAATCAAAGCTTTCAACCCATTAAACTCGCCCCGCATATTGCTTGCACCGTCATAACCCTGACCTCTAACCTTACTCAAACTCAACCCATATTCAGCAAATAAAGCATCAATAGCACTTTTGAGAGATAATGCAGAAGTATCCATGACATGAGTAACACCAACAAATCTTTCTTTAATTATCCCAAACATGTCAACATACCTCAAAACTACAGCCATTTGTTCCTTATCAGATGCATCACTAGACTCATCAATCATCAACCCAAAAACATCATCACCAATTTCTGTGACAATAAAGTTCACTATTTCTTGCGCAAAACAATGAGCAATGTCTTTCTGAATACTAGGAGACACCATTTGATTATTTCCAGGAGCATTTTTTAGTATGACTTTTCGTACAACTTCATTTTGATTTGAAGTATACTTTATCATTTCTAAAAAATTTCCTCTATTATTAGAGTCTTCAGTTTCATTATGACCACGAAATGGCAACCCTTGATGTAAAAGAAATCTAGAAACATCAATTGAAGCATTTAATCTGATGCGATACTCACTTTTCGCGGTCTCTGTTTGCTTATGAAGAGCAACACTGATTGATTGATCTTGCTTCATCAAATCTTCACACCTTTCGACAGCTATGTTATGAAAGCTCTTAACTTCACCAACATGGCTAGCTAATCTTTCAGTTTTGTTCCAGCTAGAAAAGCCCTCTGTGACAAATGCATCGTTTCCTGCTTGATTTTCATAGTTATCTCTAAACAAGTAACAACACAAGCAAAATGCTTTATCCACTTTTACACTGTACTCTAACCAATTCCCATAATGATCGAACCAAGCAGGATTAAACCGTCGCAATTTTTTGCTTATAATTTTCTGAGGAAAATCATGACCACGAGGTTGGCAGGGTCCTCTAAGCAAATATTTTCTTCTTATTTCATCTCTTTGATTAGGATGATATTCTGAAATTCTTTTCCTTTCTGCGGGATCCCAAGGAAGGTTATCCAAATCGATTTCTTTTGGCAGTGAAGGAGTGCTATTTGATACATTCACACTTGAACTTTGTCCCGCATCTTCGCTTTGATTGGATGGAGACGGTGATTTTCTTTTAAAGAAATTTGTTATCATTGTTTAATCTGTCAAAATAAATTAAGTTTTAACAAATATACATAATTTACACAAGATAATCTGTCCAAGTAGTTAAATTTTATCTGCCCTAAGCCCCTAAAAAAGTAGTAAAGCAAAAACTCACTTTACATTTTCACACGTTATGTGAGTTAGATGTCAAAGAATTTACAATATTATCGACCTAATAACTTATTCTAAAATCTAAACGACTAAACACACAAGGTATAATATATTAAGGTAAAGTAAAATAAAAAGCAAATTCTAAGGATTAAAATCTGAAAACCCAATTAACAAAATAGAAAATAAAAAAACGAAGTATTGAATTAATCAGAAAAACGAACCAGCGATTTGGAGTTTTGGAGGCAATCAAACGAAGACATGATTAGGAGGAGAAATTCATCCGGCGGCAAAAAGCATCCCAAAATCCATTCGTCGTCTCTTCGGCGTCCAAAGATGTATTCAAAACCAGGGGCAAATAAGCAATAGTGGCCGCAATCCGTATCAGTGCGTTAGGTTATTGACTATTGACCAATGATTATTGGTCTATAAATTAGATTAAATTAAAGGTTTAAAAATAAAAATTGAAGAGTGAATGACTGATTGGACTGGTGTGGGCCGTATAACTTGTACACTTTATCTTATGGCTTATTCGGAGAGTTGGACTTAACCAAATGCCAAAATATTAATGGGGTCACTCATTATTTCAATTGGGGGCACACCTCATTTACAATATATATACACATATATTTAGTATTAAAAATTGGAAGGCCATTGGGGGCATGTGCCCCCATTAAATGTATGGTGCATCCGCCCCTGACAGGGAGGGGAGGAAGGAATAGAGGATAGCTTTGTCTTCACTCTTGAGCAGGGGCGGATCCAGAAAGTTAGACCATTGGGGGCAAAAATTAAGTAAAAGGTAAGAAAAATTCTAATAATTATAAAGCAACTTTGAAAGATGAAAAAAACCAATGTTAGCATACTAGAAAATATTTATTACAATTGCTCTCTACGAGTTTTCATTTTTTGAAAACGCTCCATCACCACTTCATTCGTAACTGTATCAAGCACATCTTTTTCAACATAAGAAATAAGACAATCATTCAAAAACTGGTCGCCAATCCTATTGCGCAGACTTGACTTCACAATTTTCATCCCGGAAAAACATCTTTCAACGGTGGCGGTTGCTACTGGCAAAATCAATGACAATTTAAGTAGTCGATATACTAAGTGATATGAGAGATGTTTTTTGGTATCCACCAACATTTTAGCAAGGTCGCCAAGGCTTTTCAAGTGAGAGAAGCGTTCATCATGAAGCACATCATTCATATAGAGTTTCAGTTGATGCTCAAGAGTATGTCGATCCATAAAGTCAAAGTCATCAGGATAAAACTCGGCCAATCTCATCAATTTCAGTTCATTAAACCCACTAAAAGAATCACTTGGACTCAAAGCTCCTGTACACATGAGCAATTCTGTATTCACCTCATCAAACCGATCATTGAATTCTACAAGTTGCATATCTACAACTGTATAAAAGCAATCCACAAAATAATAATGGAAGTTAGTGGTATTACTTTTTTTACGAGGCCTTTTTGGATTAATGTAATCTTCTTCCATTCTCAACATTGAAATTTCGTGTTTGTCACAAAAATCAGAGACTTTTTTCAAAAGTGAACCAAACCCATCATTGCGAACCTGTTGCAACTGCTCCTTAGTTGACCTTACTAATGACAGAGCATTTATAATGTCTTGATCTTTTCTTTGTAAGGCCATTGATAAAGAACTTGTGAGCCCCAAAATCAACAACATCAATTGCAAATAAAACACAAAATCAAATGATTGAAAATAGACGAGAATACCATGTGCCTGACGTCTTTTCACATCATCTTTACCATCTTTTTCAACAAATTCAAGAACTTCAACAATAGATGGAAACAACTCGACCACACGTAAAAGTGTTTTGTAATGAGAACCCCATCGAGTATCTCCAGCTCTTTGTAGCATAATCTCCTGATTCAAACCTTTTCCCGTACTAATGTCATTACAACTAATGGCTTGCTTAACTTTTTCTTGATGACTTTGACGGATCATATCTTTCCGTTTGCAAGAAGCCCCAACAACATTCATCAATAGAGATATCATATCAAAAAAATTCCCTACCTCAAAGTGTTTTTTGGCAACCGCCACAACAACTAATTGAAGCTGATGAGCAAAACAATGCACATAATATGCTGAACTAGTTTCTCTCAAAATCAAAGCTTTCAACCCATTAAACTCGCCCCGCATATTGCTTGCACCGTCATAACCCTGACCTCTAACCTTACTCAAACTCAACCCATATTCAGCAAATAAAGCATCAATAGCACTTTTGAGAGATAATGCAGAAGTATCCATGACATGAGTAACACCAACAAATCTTTCTTTAATTATCCCAAACATGTCAACATACCTCAAAACTACAGCCATTTGTTCCTTATCAGATGCATCACTAGACTCATCAATCATCAACCCAAAAACATCATCACCAATTTCTGTGACAATAAAGTTCACTATTTCTTGCGCAAAACAATGAGCAATGTCTTTCTGAATACTAGGAGACACCATTTGATTATTTCCAGGAGCATTTTTTAGTATGACTTTTCGTACAACTTCATTTTGATTTGAAGTATACTTTATCATTTCTAAAAAATTTCCTCTATTATTAGAGTCTTCAGTTTCATTATGACCACGAAATGGCAACCCTTGATGTAAAAGAAATCTAGAAACATCAATTGAAGCATTTAATCTGATGCGATACTCACTTTTCGCGGTCTCTGTTTGCTTATGAAGAGCAACACTGATTGATTGATCTTGCTTCATCAAATCTTCACACCTTTCGACAGCTATGTTATGAAAGCTCTTAACTTCACCAACATGGCTAGCTAATCTTTCAGTTTTGTTCCAGCTAGAAAAGCCCTCTGTGACAAATGCATCGTTTCCTGCTTGATTTTCATAGTTATCTCTAAACAAGTAACAACACAAGCAAAATGCTTTATCCACTTTTACACTGTACTCTAACCAATTCCCATAATGATCGAACCAAGCAGGATTAAACCGTCGCAATTTTTTGCTTATAATTTTCTGAGGAAAATCATGACCACGAGGTTGGCAGGGTCCTCTAAGCAAATATTTTCTTCTTATTTCATCTCTTTGATTAGGATGATATTCTGAAATTCTTTTCCTTTCTGCGGGATCCCAAGGAAGGTTATCCAAATCGATTTCTTTTGGCAGTGAAGGAGTGCTATTTGATACATTCACACTTGAACTTTGTCCCGCATCTTCGCTTTGATTGGATGGAGACGGTGATTTTCTTTTAAAGAAATTTGTTATCATTGTTTAATCTGTCAAAATAAATTAAGTTTTAACAAATATACATAATTTACACAAGATAATCTGTCCAAGTAGTTAAATTTTATCTGCCCTAAGCCCCTAAAAAAGTAGTAAAGCAAAAACTCACTTTACATTTTCACACGTTATGTGAGTTAGATGTCAAAGAATTTACAATATTATCGACCTAATAACTTATTCTAAAATCTAAACGACTAAACACACAAGGTATAATATATTAAGGTAAAGTAAAATAAAAAGCAAATTCTAAGGATTAAAATCTGAAAACCCAATTAACAAAATAGAAAATAAAAAAACGAAGTATTGAATTAATCAGAAAAACGAACCAGCGATTTGGAGTTTTGGAGGCAATCAAACGAAGACATGATTAGGAGGAGAAATTCATCCGGCGGCAAAAAGCATCCCAAAATCCATTCGTCGTCTCTTCGGCGTCCAAAGATGTATTCAAAACCAGGGGCAAATAAGCAATAGTGGCCGCAATCCGTATCAGTGCGTTAGGTTATTGACTATTGACCAATGATTATTGGTCTATAAATTAGATTAAATTAAAGGTTTAAAAATAAAAATTGAAGAGTGAATGACTGATTGGACTGGTGTGGGCCGTATAACTTGTACACTTTATCTTATGGCTTATTCGGAGAGTTGGACTTAACCAAATGCCAAAATATTAATGGGGTCACTCATTATTTCAATTGGGGGCACACCTCATTTACAATATATATACACATATATTTAGTATTAAAAATTGGAAGGCCATTGGGGGCATGTGCCCCCATTAAATGTATGGTGCATCCGCCCCTGCTCTTGAGCTAAGCGGTTTTTTCTGTTATTTTCCTTCTCGAAATTTGGAAAATAGACTTCCAGATTCTATTCCTTTTACCTGGTGGAACCAGGGCCGGTCCTCAGAAAATGGAGGCCCTGTGCAAAAATAAAATTTGGGCCTTCCTTTATGACATAAATATTGATCGCCGGACAGATGTTCTTAAAACATAGCTGCATCAATTATAACTTTATTAAATATAAATAGCCCAATTAACTCATCAACTAATTACATTTAATTCTAAATAACAACCAAATTTGTTAAATTTCATTATTTCATCAATTCATCATACATTATTACATTAGTAGAGTAGTAGTACCACTACTAAAAAATTTATTTTGGGCCCTCCAATTTTTTGGGCCCTGTGCGGTTGCACACCCTAAACTCCCTCTGGGCCGGCCCTGGGTGGAACCAGCTGATGGCTTCGGAATTTATTAAGGTGAAGGCATGCCATTATTTTGAAAAACAAAAAACAAGAAATAAGTCTAATTAAGGGAAAACTATCTAACTTATAAGTCAAAATATGCTCAATTGTGTAATTTTTTTTGAAGACTTTGAGAGAGAATAGTCGGTAATCCCATAACTTTGTGCATCAAACTAAAGTATATGAGTCTTCAAAAAAAGATTTTTGAATATCTCGGTAACCATGAAACATCTCTCTACTACACAACTCATTCTTAAGGAATTGACAGAAAATAGATGGGAATGTTTTCTTGAAGAAGTAAATGAGTTTTTCTCAAAAAATAAATTCATGCACCAGACTTGAATTCTAATTTCTAAAAATATTGTTGGTCATTGCTGAAAAGAAACTACAATTGAGAATCATTATCACTTTGAGGGTTTTCAATGAGGTAATATACTTTTATTCATGGAGTTAACGACCCGGTTTAATGATAAATCAGTGGAACTCCTTTCTTTGAGTGTTTCATTTGATCCAAAAAATTCATATGAGTTGTTCAATGCCGATGCTATTTGTACTCTTGTAAGGAAGATTTTAGTAGTTAGGACATTCGTGCTTTGAAATTCGAGCTACAACACTATGTTCATGATGTGATTCATGATACCAAGTTTCAAGTATTTCCACTTGTTGAATTATGTGAGGAATTAACTAAAAGCAAAAGGTCTGATTCATATGTTAAGATGACTAGATTGATTCACTTTGTATTGGTCTTATTGTTTCTACTGCAACAGTAGATAGAATGATCATTTTCTGTCGTGAAACTTCTAAAGGCAACACTCTACAACAAAATGGATGATGGTTTTCTTGCTGATTGCATGACACTTTACATTGAAAAAGATATTACTCTCAGTATAGATGTATACTCTATTGTTGATGAGTTTTCTTTATTTCAAAGCCTTGTCTAGAACAAATTTAGGGGATAACTTTTATATTTGAATTTTCGCTTATTTTGAAAAAAAATCAATGTATTATCAATTAAAATTTTCAGCTCAGCCCAACATTAAATCCTGGATCCGCCCGTGATGGCTGCAATTCAAAATTTAGTTGGTCTCAGTTGTACGAAGGAAGGCGAAGGGAGAGAGTTCCCAAGTTCTCTTCTCTGGTGCGGGAAACGCAAGAAAGAAATAAGAGAGGGAGGAAGAAAATAAAAACAAATAAAAAAAGAGAAAAAGAAATTAAAAATCCACATGGAGTCATGGACAGACCATGTAAGCGGATAACTGGGAAACTTGCTCTTTATCGGTCATACGGCTTAATTGAGTGTTTTTTATGAGTTTGAGGATTCAATTGATTCTAAAGTTTGAGGACTTCATTGAGTTTTTTGACATAGTAGTAATACTTATTTAACAGTTTTCCCTCTAATTAAACACATTGTAGCCTAAAAATCTCGACAAATAAACACATTTGGAAGATCCAAATGTTAATATGTTATGTTTCAATGTCTATATGTCATCATCAGCATTCAGCTTCACAAAGTGTATATAGGCTTTCACCCTATTAGAATACATTTTTATCTCTGAGATTGTGTAAATGAGTGTGAATTGTGATCCATCTAAACCTATATGTTGGCTTTAATGACCCTGTAGCGCCAAAATTGCCCAACATAATTGTATTGAAAAAACTAGGCACTTTTTGTGTACACATTTTATAGTTGTTTGTGTACATGAATAACTCATTTAAAACAACTATTCAATTTGTCTTTAATTGTACAAAATACATAATATTTGTAAGGGTGTTGCAGTACAAAATAGTAGTAATAACAAGGGGTTAGATCATGAATATTACTAATTAAAAGCATTTAGACAAATATAAAACTTCTTTTAATATATACCAAAAAAGAGACTATGCCCGACTGCCCGTATGTCATTAAATTTTTTTTTTATCAAATATACCCTGCTGGGGTGCAACCTAATGGGCTAATGAATACCAAGTACGTACTAATAAAATTGCCCTTTCCTTGCTCAGTAGCTCCACAAAGTTCTACGGCCATTTCCATGGTAAAAAAATTGTATCATTTTTTTTTATCCGGAGTTACGGTTATCCAGTCACGATTTATAGTTACTTTGACTCGATCAATTACAATTCCACATCCGATTATTTACAGTTACTGGCCTGGCCAGTTACAGTTACTTGCCGCCAATTACAATTATCCGACCAGCTATAATTTCTCGACCCATGAATTACAGTTACAGAGTTACCCGACCTAACCAATTACAATTACTTAATCCACCCAGTTACAGTTACCCAATTAGTCCAGTTATAATTACCCGACCCCCCAGTTACAGTTACTCGATCCGTCCAGTTATAGTTACCCGATTCGTCCAGTTACAGTTACCCGACTCCCTTGTTACAGTTACTCGATCCGTCTAGTTACAGTTATCCGATCCGTCCAGTTACAGATACCCGACCCGTCCAGTTACATTTACCCGACCCGTTTAGTTACAGTTACCGACCCGTCCGATTATAGCTACAATTACATAACCCGTCCAGTTACCATTACCAACCCGCTTACCAACTCGTCCAATTACCCCTAAACCGCCGCTGGCCACCGCCGACAACCGCCCACCACACCCCATCCCAATGCCTCAATCAGCTCTCTCCCCTGGTCACCCTACTACCCCCCCCCCCCCCCCCCCCCCCGCCGCCGCCGCCGCCCGCCCCGCCTGCATCACCCATCCCCCAGCCCCCTGCCTCACCACCGCCCTCTGCCCCTCCAGCACCACCATGCCTGCCCCTCCTTCTACTGCTCTGCCCCCATCACCAACCCCCCTCCAGCCTCCCTAGGCCACGGCTGTCGTTGACCGCGAAAACCTAGCTACGAAAACCAACAACCGCATAACTCTGGATGCGGCCGTCGATAACCCAGGAACCCTCATTGCCGACGTCTGGAGTCCTCATCGCCGTTATTGCTTTCAAATCGCATTCGTCGATTCCACCATCAAATCCTTGATTCCGCCATCGCCTCCATCGACTTGAGATGGAAAATGGAGAAGGAGAAGAGTAAAAGGCGGCGGCGGCGACCTAGACGCAGAGGAGGTCATCGTCGATCTGATCTCCACATAGGTAATTGCGGAGTGAGTTTGTTGCACCTCCGGTGGTGAAGCAACGGAAGAGATGGGCGGCCTGAAGAAATTTGGATCTAGCAGTTTGGTGCGGGGCTGGAGAAAACGAAAGAAGATGGATGGCCATTTAGGTTAGGGGGTATTTTAGACATTCTATACTATCTTTAGTCTTATATTTGTCCAAAATTAAAATGGGTCCTTCTTCTGTCCATAGAAAGTGCACTGATCATACGTCCGCCATTTTTTCTAATAACAATCTTAATGTGAGAAATAATATCAGTCTGACTTAATATTAGTGTCTGATGTAGAGTACGATTTTGTTCACACTTCTTTCATAAGGGTGAACATAACCCTCAGTTCCTGTCATGTGGGTAGACGTTTTTTGCAAACTGCTATAACTTACTCACAGGATAAAGTGAATTACTACTCACCATAGTCATTACCTTACTTGGCTAAGCACATATTTCCAGTTTCCTTAACCATGTTACCATGCAGGGATTTGGACTACTCTGGACTCATGCATAACAAACAGGGCGATAATACAAACATCACTTAAGAAACAGTAGAGACAGATGAGCATTGAGCAATAATAATTTAATAAACCTCAATCAAGATTTGAAAACTGTGAAGGCAAAATTTTAAAATATTATTTATGTATTTATTTATACAGATACAATGTCAAATAATCAAGTGCAACGACCAAGTCCGCCTCTTCTACCTCTTTTTTCGTACAACATTTGAGGTGTGGATACTATCTAAGCAACAAGACAAAATTACAAATCAAGACTATATACTACTTTTTTCAGAAAAAAATAGTTGAATATTTTCAACACTAAAACAATATTAGAAACATGAATCTTTCTTGGGAACAGAGTGTAGTCTTCTAACTTGTTAATGCATTTGCAGGAAACACCTTCCAGATGAATTTCAAAAAGCGTTGGGAGTAGAACGTGGGGTCCACAGCAGATATGGACACAGAATCATATTGTAAAGATTTGAACGTGTGCTCTATCTTCTTAGTCATGTTGTACTCTTGCAAGATGTCAATAATACCCAGGTAAAGTACAACATCATACACTTCAGGAAACATCCGCTTCTCATCATTCCTGGGGACGT